AAACCTAAACTTTCACTGATGTCACTGCACCTACCTAATTTCTTTCTTCATTACTTCACAAAAGCCCCTCTGTTGTCAGACCCAAAAAGCCCCACCATCCCCATGCTCATGTTTTGCCCCCTCTCCTGGAATGCTCCCATACTCACTTGTCTAAGCTCCATCCAGCCTTCTAGGCCTAACTTGAGTGCATTTTCTCCATGGTTGTTCCAGTGTGCCCTGAACATACTCTGGTCTGTAGAGACCCCTATTTATGTTTTACTCTACTTTATACTTGATTAAGTACTATAGTACAGATTTGTGAAGCTTGACTCTTCTTAGAAGTTTTTTGTTTGTTTTTTAATTGCCAGAGAGGATGTGAACTCAGAGACAAAGAGGAGAAAACACCCAACAATGCGGCATGGTCATGCTGTAAACACTTCTCCATTTCCCTATCCTGTTGGGATCTGGGGCACACACACATATGTGTGCACAATGTGTTTCTTAAACTGCCTGGCCCATGATTCAGACCTCCGTCAGCCACATGGGGTCCCGCTTCCTTAACTACAAAGCTATGAGGCCAACCCTTCTTAGAAGTTTCTTGACATAAAGGATCTTTTTTATTCTTTTCCTGTGATGTTTATAGCCTGGAATAGTGTTGAGCCGAAAATCCTTTCTCTGAAAAAGCTTTCTGCTTGATCAAAATAGTCTTGAGCTTATTCAGTTCATGAAGATTCTTAAGGAAGATTTAATTTCAGCTGTCCGAGAGTTAGCGAAAACTCTATGAAAGAAAGATCATTCTAAGGTACTACCTTGATCAGCCAATATCCACATCACTTTATATAGGAGTGAATGAGGACTGAGGCTAGGAGAGAGGGAGGGAACCTTACTCAGAGCATCCAACCTGGAAGGCTGGGAAGTGCATGCCTACATTAATATCCTGATGCCAATATGTGGTTTCCTCCAAAATAGGCTCAACTTTCACAGCTAGTCCTTTGAAGCCTGTTTGTGGAAGCACTGGCCACCCTGGCTTGGTGAAAGTAAGGCCTAAGGTAGAAGTGATAAGACCCCACTGGCTTCAGAAGTTAATGATGATAAAAGATTTATAACTCAGCTTAGATAGGAGTGCATGAGGAGTACCATCACTGTTGCTTTGTTGGCTGCTCTCACAGGGAGAATTTCATGGCAGGGGAAGAGGTAGATGCTAAGGAAAGGACAAAGAAATAACCCCTTCTTCTTTGCCTACAAGATTAGAATTTTTAATAATCCTGTTCTTTCAAAGAGAAAGTTAAGTCTTTTTCACCTCTACATAAAAGACTTAGATCTGTGCAACACCCTCATTGCTGAGGGAGATAAGGAACCATATTCTGATTAGGAGGCCATGGTAGTTGCGTCTCTGGAATACCAGGTCTCTGTGGGTATCTGGTTACACGACTCCAGTGGATGGAATTACTAAAAGAGACGCTGAGACTTGTATGGCTGCATTTCAGAAACTTCATTTGCAAGGAAAATAATGATTTAGGTCATTTTTTTCCTTTGAAGTTAAAATTAATATCCTGTTGGTCTTGTACTTCTCTACTTCTTAGTTCTATAAACCTTTTCCTAGTTTATTTTCCATAAGAGCTTAGTAGAAATAATTTTCTGGAAGGGATTTGTCAACATAAAGGCATAAGGAAGACTAGTAATATAAGGACTAGCAAAATTGTCATGATTAGTCATGATTTTCTGGAGACCAATGATAAGGCAGCATCATATTCTGTCCTTTTCCCCTAGAACAGACAGATGCCAATTAGTTCCCACATCTGAATTGTGCCCTGTTTCAATCTTTAAACAGTGAAAACCTAAGTCTTAATCATTATAAATTAAGTGGACTTAGCAGTTTGTAAGAACCTATGTGATAGACATCATATTTTAAAGGACAGGAAGATAAGTCAGAATTGTGTGGCTATGTATTATTTGACTCTGGATATAGAACTATCTTAGATTTGTTTGGGTACCCAATGAGGATGGAAATACACTTGCTCTTAGGCAACATGTAGATAAGGCCTACTGAAACTTCTATAACTTCATATCCCCAGTGGCTCACCTTGATTTCTCTCTGCCATAAAATAATATTAGTAATTTCATTATTTCCCTCTCTGTTTCACCAAAGATAGAAGCCTGCTTCTAAGAAAGAGAGCACTTTAATACCCCAAGCTCCGACAAGCCCAGATCCCCCAGATTATATATTGCTAATGGCAACAGGACAACTTGAAAAGTCATACCATGTCCCCAGTATATTCCTGTAGTTTGTCTGCAAGTTTTTCAATTGGAAAAGCCACTATCCTATCCAGAATTTAACTCTCTGGCATTTGGATCCCTCTGCTGGCTGATAGTTGAAATTCTGCTTGGGTTTTTCTTTCTTTTTTACTTTTTGTTTTTAACATAGTCTGATGATCATTATCTTTCTCCTTCCCATGCTCCCTCTTTCTGTATTTCCCTTTCTGGATGAATCTATTGTCCTTACTATGTTCCTCTTGATGTCTTTAATCCCTATTTTAAGTACTAGTTTGTAGCCTGTTCCTGGTAGGAGGCCAGTGTCTGGTAGGTTTTGACTGAAGGAATGACTAATACAACATTATAGAGGCTGTCCTAGAAGTAGGACAGGTACAACGTACAGAGAGGTATTAGGTCCTCCATTCATGAACCATTCCTGTATCTCACACCAGCAATAGTCATAATAATGGTAAATGTTTTTGCAGATTGGACTTAATTATATAGTCCTGGCACCAGCCTTGTGAGCAGCTTCTTTGTCATTTACTTCACAGATGACAAAATTCAGGCTGGAGTCATGCAGTTGATTGATGATGGGGCTTGATATAGGTCTCTCTGGTGTTAGTGTTACATTGTAAGCTTCTGAGATGCTCTAGGCTTTCTAGGCCCATATATTGGCAAAAGTTCTTTGTCCTTCCTCTCTGCCCAAAAGTCTCTTCCTCCACTTGTCTCTTCTTTGGAATTCTGACTTTTCCTTCAGGACTTAGGTTCAGGGGTCATTTGAAGAGGCCCAACCCCTACCCTCGCTTTTTATGTTGGTTAAGATTCTGTGAACCAGCACTTGCCTCTAATGGAACGCTTAACCACACATTTTGTCATGATTTCCCTACTGCCTGTTTCCTTAGTAGACTCTGATTGACCTCTTTGAAGGCAGCAAGCCTAGCTTATTGGTCTTTTTTATCTCTGGTGTCTGGTACGTAGCACAGAACTCAGCTCATAGTAATGAAAATAGCAATACAGTAGACCTCCTATAAACATAGGTTCTGTATTCTCAGATTCAACTAATCACAGATCAGAAATACTTTAAAATGTGAATAATAACAATCAACAATAAAAATTAATATAAGTTGAAAGTACAGTATAACAACTTACATTGTACTTACATTGTATTAGGCTTTGTAATTTATCTAGAGATTACTGATCAAGAAGTGTGAGAAAGAAGACTACATTTTCTTCCCTGAAATAAGTAGTACCCCGAGCAGCACTGTATCTCTCCCAGTGAGGGTCTTTTAAGGAAGGAGGTCATTTAAATAAATCAGGTATTGAACTTTTCCAAGGAAAAAAGTCTGGCAAATATAAAAGTATAGAGGGTAACTGTAGATTTGCTGAAACCTGTTTACCTAGTAATTTCACATGTAATTTTGTAAAAATGTATGAAATATTTTATGAAATAACTGCTGTGCTCATCTAGTTTATCTGTCAACTAGAAAGTTCAAGTGTAAATTAAGCACTTCTGAGGCCTAAAAATCATTAAGTACAAATTTAGTTGCTTAAGAGAGGCTAATCTAAAACTATTTGCTTTCACTTAGCTGTTAAGATATCTAAGATGATCGATGAATCATTGGTGTGCCATTAATCTGAGGTCTAGTCAACTGCTTACCTCAGAGATCAGGTGCCATGTTAAAGAAATCTAGGCTATCATTAGTAATAACAAAACAAGAGATCTTCAAAAGCTCATGGAAAATGTGTATTATGGGGACCAGCAGATGGTGTAACAGTTACATGGTAAGCTGGATTCCCACATAGTTGACCACAGTTCGAGTCACAGACCTGGAGGCTTAAAACTCACAATAGGTGCATGCGACTGTATGCCCAAGATCCTGAGAAGAGAATGCAGGAGAAGGGCTAGAGGAGAAGGGGATTGCAGGCTCTCGCTTTCTGTGTCTCTGGTGAGCCCATGTGCCCTATAATCTCTCTAAATAAACAAATGTGTATTACCAGGGACCAGTGGTTGGCTTAATTGCTATGTCGCTGGACTCCCATGTAGTCGACCATGGTGTGAGTACAGGACTTGGTGGCTTAAACTCTCACGGGGCAACTGTGTGTGTGTGCTCAAGATCACGAGAGGAAAATGGAGAAGGGATTGCTGCGTGGCCATCCCTCCTGGGATATGATTTCTTGCTTTCTGTCTCTCGTCTCTCTCTGTCTTTCTGGCAAGTGCACGTGTCCTATAGCAAAAAACTCTCAAAAAAAATGTGTATTACGAAAAAAAAACTATGAATTTTTTAAAAATTGTACAAAAATAAACTTGTATTTTAATCGTTTTCCCCCAGACTTCATGAAGTCCCTTTATATTCTATAATTCTTATGTTTCAGGGTAGTATTCATATTTCATGCTATGATTATATTTTAAGACCATCTAAGAAACCCATAGCCTTTAATGATAACCTTACTTCTAGCTATCCTCAAATCCTGTTTATTGTTAAACCCACCAATATCATCAAATCATTTTAGGGTGGCTCACATTCTCATTTTGTAAGACGTGACTCACTGCAGTAAGCAGTGGACACAGAATCTGAATGTTGGGGCAGTAGGGATCTTGGTCTAACTCCATTCTGCAGTTGAAGAAAACAAGGCTCGGAGAAGCTGTCCCTGCTTCCCTCATGGCACCAGAAAGCCATGTTCCTTTAGGAAAAGCCATAGTTCCTTGACTATTTCTGCAGCGTTCATATCTCACGGGAGTTATGCCAATTTACCTTTCTTTTCTTCAGGTAGCATCCTCTGTCCTGACTGTGTGGCACGGAGAGCAAGGGGAGCCGCAGCCATGACGACCGCCATCTTGGAGCGCCTGAGCACCCTGTCGGTCAGCGGGCAGCAGCTGCGCCGCCTGCCCAAGTTCCTGGAGGACGGCCTTCCCAAGATGCCTTGCACCGTCCCCGAGACGGAAGTGCCGCAGCTCTTCCGGGAGCCGTACATCCGCACTGGCTACCGTCCCACCGGGCACGAGTGGCGCTACTACTTCTTCAGCCTGTTTCAGAAACACAATGAGGTGGTCAACGTATGGACCCACTTGCTGGCAGCCCTGGCTGTTCTCTTGCGATTCTGGGCCTTTGCTGAGTCTGAGGCCTTGCCATGGACCTCTCACCACTCCCTGCCCCTGCTCCTGTTTATCCTGTCCTCAATCACTTACCTCACTTGCAGCCTTCTGGCCCACCTGCTGCAGTCCAAGTCGGAGCTCTCCCACTACAGTGTCTACTTTGTGGACTATGTTGGTGTGGCCGTTTACCAATATGGCAGTGCCTTGGTCCACTACTACTACAGCTCCGACCAGGCCTGGTATGATCGGTTCTGGCTTTTCTTCTTGCCAGCAGCTGCCTTCTGTGGCTGGTTATCTTGTGCAGGCTGTTGTTATGCCAAGTATCGTTACCGGAGGCCTTACCCAGTCATGAGGAAGATCTGTCAAGTGGTGCCTGCAGGACTAGCTTTCATTCTAGACATCAGCCCTGTGGCACACCGTGTGGCGCTCTGCCACCTTACTGGCTGCCAGGATCAGGCAGTCTGGTACCACACCCTCCAGATTCTCTTCTTCCTGATCAGCGCCTACTTCTTCTCCTGCCCAGTGCCTGAGAAGTACTTCCCAGGTTCCTGTGACATTGTGGGCCATGGACATCAGATCTTCCATGCCTTTTTGTCTATCTGCACACTCTCCCAGCTGGAGGCTATCCTCCTGGACTATCAGGGGCGGCGGGAGATCTTCTTGCAGCGCCACAGTCCACTGTCCGTCTACATGGCCGGTTTCTCCTTCTTCTTCTTAACTGCCTGTAGTGCTGCCACTGCAGCACTCCTGAGGCACAAAGTCAAGGCCCGACTGAGCAGGAAAGAATCCTGAGGTTGGCAGATGGAGTAAGATGTGGAAGTAGTCCTTTCTGATTTGAGGACAACTTGATTAAACAAGAGAAGTTGACTAATGGTTGGCTTTTCAATTAATATGTTATTTCCAAGGGTATGCTATGACTGCAGCATTGGAAAGCCAAAGGATTCAAGAGACTTGTTAATCAAAGGGGTGTTCCTATTCCTTCTGGGTCATGACTTTACAAGTCACAAGAGGGAAGAGATCTTGGCTAAGATTCATGGGATGCTGTATTAAGGAGAACCATCTTTATGCCTGAATATTTGGTAGAAGTCTAACTATAGCCTCTATGGGCAATAAAATTGGACGGGAAAGTAAGGTGACTTGTCTTCACACTGTTGGGACAGCCATTCTGCTATGCTGGTCATTGATAATTAAATTGATCCAGGGTTTCTATTGCATTTGGATTTTAGGTTGTTCAAAGTGGAAGTGTCAGAATCTTCAAGATGATTGTGTGTAACCCTTAGACATAATGAATTACTCAGTTCATCTGATTTCTGATCCCTTCTCTCTCATCCACTGTAACACTGACCCGTTCTCAGGGTGACTGCCTGGCTGTTTTCTCTGAAGTGCTGTTTACTCTCATTCCTACTTTGCATGGTGATACAAAGGACTATGGAGCAGTCATACTCCTAGGAAGTGCTTGGATCCACATGGACATTTAGAAAGCTTTTTATCTTATAATACTAATGTAAACAGCACCAGAAAGTGCAGTGCCAAGAGCCACCAGGAGATCCAGCCAACAAGCATGGATAGTTTGGTGTCATGGGACCCTTCTATTTTATACCTGTAGACTGCACGATTACTTCAGAGCTATTAGGGCTGCCATATAGGCTAGGAAATCTGGAGGTTGCTCCAGGGAGTCTTCTCCAGATTTTACCATCATGTTTTAAAAGCCCTTAGTAGGGTGAATTGGTTCTAAGGGTTCCTCTAGGATCTAATTATTTCAAGAGGAATCCAAGGTCTAGCCTCCTACACAGAGGCTGTCTCATGAAGGACCCCATAACTACCCCACCCAGGGTCCTCAGGCAGGCAGTTCTGCATCAGCTAAGAGCGGAATCCTTAGGGTAATCAAGTCCTAAGAGAGGCAAGCAGGTGTGCTTACTGTGAGTTGGTCCTTGAAGGCTCTTTTGGATGAGAATGTATGAACCAGGCACCCTGTAACCAAACACTCTGTTTGGAACATTGTGGATAGGTGGTGCTTGCAACCGGTGTATTCTGACCACACAGCTCTCTCTGAGGACTGAGTTCTGTACCAGTCCAGTGAAGGAGGCTGTGTCAAGGGAAGGGCTGGGAAGCCCTCTCCTCAGAGGCTCCTTTTCTTACCAGTATAAAGTCCCTTACTTACTCAGAAGGGAAGTGGTTTGTTTTAGCTCCAAACTTCCTCTATTATTAGCCTACCTTGTTGTCTGCAGATCTTTGTTTTCTTACTTTCTTGGAGAGTTTCATGGGGTTTGTGCCTTATAAATGGAAATGTGTGACTACTTAATATGTGGAATTTTCTGCTCTGCATTATTGGGATAAGAAAAAAGAGCTCATTGCTTTCCAACCAGTAAATGAAAAAAACTCTAGAAAGCTAAAACAACTAATCAATCAAAAGACTCCCATCTGTATTTGGGAGGGAAAAAAAACTCAACTGAAGCTTTCCTATAATCATGTGGCCCAGCCCTAGTAGTAAATACTGCTGAGGGTGCATAGGAGAGAATGGACACAATGTGCCTATAGTCCCAGCTAATCAGGGGACTGAGGCAGGAGGATCACAACATAGTGACACCTGTCTTTGAAAAAAGAAAAGAGAATCATGCATCTTATCAGCTACTTTGTTTTCAGAAATGGATTTCTCCTGTTGATCCTAAAATATCCGAACTTCTATGCTACCCAAGTGTCTTATACAAACTTTTGGTGTCTAAGACAAATTCGTGGCAAATAAAGCTAGTAAAACTGAACTGGGTTGAACCAAACAAATGGATAAAAGAATAGTGCAAACATGTTGCAAGTAGGAGGTCAATTTAAAAAGGGGACTAGAAAGTGTTTTCAAATTTAATTATAGATTCGAAGATCATATGTTCTTTTTAAAGTTCGAGGGGAGAGGTAAAGGAAGAGAGAAGAAGGGAGGAAGTGTAAGTCAAGTTTTTTAATATAACTGTGGTGGGCAGAGATCTTTACGTCAAACCCAGGTATTATTTAGAAGAGAATAGGAAGTTAGTCTCAACTGCATCCAGAGACCAGTGCCGGTCTGTACACAGATAATGGCTTGGGACATCATAAGTTCAGGAAGAGAGACTGTATTTTGAGATATTGCCATATGATTGTTATTTTAATTTACACAAGTGTTACCTCCTTAAGTAACTAGAAATTTTTTAAAAAAAACAGATTTTTATGAGATATTTAAGAGGCTATGAGGTAGAGGACTATGAAATGCTGTCAAAATACTAGTTTCTCAGAAACATATAAACAGTAAATGCAGATGTTTTAACTACTCAGACTTTCGTAGAGGCTAAGTACTTTTTTTTTTTTTAGGTTTTTGCTATAGGGCTCATGTGCTTGCCAGAAAGACAGAGACAGAGAGACAGAAGGCGAGAAATCACTCCCTGCGGGGGATGGCCATGCCGCAATCCCTTCTCCATTTTCCTCTCGGGATCTTGGGCATGCATGCACATGCGCCTGGCATGAGTTTAAGCCACCGGATCTGGGACTTGAACCACAGTCGACTACATAGGAGTCCAGCAACATAGCCATTACGCCAACTGCTGGTCCCAAGGCTAAATACTCCTTTCAAACATTTTCATTAAAATGAGTGTAACAGGAAGAAACAGAACTCACTTGCTTAAAAAGTATAATTACGAGTTTGATAAAGAAGGTGGATTTTTTATTCCACCATAGTTCTTCCAACAGTTGACACCTACTGAAAACTCAGCAGATTTTGTCTCTCATTGAATTAAGGCTTTCAACTATAGCTGCTAAGCTAGAGTGCCAGCCTAGTACTGCACTGGGCTGCAAGTGTTTCTGAAAAAAACTAAACTATCAATCATTTATATATTTTGTGAATGAAAATTCTGGTGGATTTGTGTGAGGTCTTACTCAGGGTAAGGGATATCAAGACACAGCAAATTCTTTCCTGACCTCTATTTATTGATGAGCTAATGTTAGTACTCTTAACGTATTAGCATTTCATTTCTCACTTCAGCTAAAAGCACCTCACTCAATAACAATATTCTCAAGAGTCCTTTACTGGAAGACTGAAGCAGTCGAAGTTGGGGCATGGGATAAAGGTAGTTTATTTCTGCCTTTGTTTGCCCACCTGTTTACAACTTGTCCTTTAGTGTGTGAAAACAAACATTGGACTCTTTTGTTGCTGTACTGTAGTTTCAAATGTATCCTCCAGAGGGCGATCATGTCTAGCTCAGTGAGGGCACAGTCATTGTCTCCAAGGCTTGGCCTGCTAAATGTATTAGTCTTGTGTTTTGTTTGATTTGTTTGGCAAAGAAAAAAAAATGAATTATTTTCTGTCTATGTAAATCTACTTACACGAAAAACTATTAAACAAATTTTGTAACTGGGTTGTTACAGTGTCAGCAGTTTAAAGAAACAGGTACCCTATTTCTTAATGAGATTCTTGTCAAGGCCTATCCTAAAGAAAGAATTTATTTGGATAAGCATTACCAGGAGGAGCTCAGGATAATTTCCCGGGATGACCCAAGCACCCCACATCCACCACGCACCCCATTTCCACCACGCCCCCATTTCCACCACTACCACATTGCAATATACAATGAAACAATCACAATAGGGCTTGAGCTCTCAGGAGAATCTTATCCTTCATTAAAGTGAATTGGGGGAACCAGCAGTTAGTGTAATGGCTATGTCGCTGGACTCCCACGTAGTTGACCGCGGTTCGCGTCCCGGACCCGGTGGCTTAAAACTCACGCCGGGCGCGTGTGCGTGCGTGCCCAAGATCCCGAGAGGAGAATGGAGGAGAAGGGATTGCGGCGTGACCATCCCCCCTGGGGGGTGATTTCTCGCTTTCTGTCTCTATGTCTCTGTCTGTCTGTCTGGCGAGCGCAAGCGCCCTACAATGAAAATCTCTCCAAAAAAAAAAAAAAAGTGAATTGGGTACTACTGCAATCTAAAACAAATTCTTCTTCTTAAAGACAACTATGGCAACATGCATCTCTATTCAGTGTTCTTTCTTTCTCTCTTTCCTTTTTTTAATTGCCAGGCAGCATATATGCTTACCAGAGACAGAGAAGGAGAACGCATCCCACAGTGACTGTGGATGTGCAACAATCCTTTCTCCGTTTCTCTATCCTGTTGGGATTTGGGGCATGTACATGTATGCTTGCATGCAGCTAGTGCATTTTTCAAGCTGCTGGGGTGGGACTCAAACCTCAGTTGGCTATATGGGATCTTGCTCACCTTAGCCACGAGGCTATAATACCAGCACAGTGTTATTAGTTTTTAAACAAAATTATCTTGGACTCTGACTAATTATGCTGTGGGGAAAAAAACCTTAGCACAGAGCCTAGAGCAGTTTGTGTTCAATTAATTCTAGCGGTCCTTGTCATTATTATACTATCACGTCTCTCTGAGCAGGGTGCTGTGTGTTCTGTGCACTTGCATCCACCTTATTCATGGGCTCCCACACATCTCACTAGAGCTCCTGTTCTTGGAAGTATTGCGCTCTTGGGAGTATAGAACTCTTGGGAGGGATTTCTCTCCACCCATAATAAAGATGTGCTTGGGCCAGCCAGTGGAGTGTTGCTTAAAGTGGCTGGGTCCCACACAGCCGACTGTAGGTTTGCATCCCAGACTGGTGGCTTGAAAAACACACCAAGTGTGGCGGGGACCAGCAGTTAGTGTAATGGCTATGTTGCTGGATTCCCACGTAGTCGACCACGGTTCGTGTCCCGGACCCGGTGGCTTAAAACTCACGCCAGGCACATGTGCGTGCATGCCCAAGATCCCAAGAGGAGAATGGAGGAGAAGGGATTGCGGTGTGGCCATCTCCCCCCAGGGGGGGTGATTTCTCGCTTTCTGTCTCTCTCTGTCTGGCGAGCGCATGCACCCATACAAAAACCCCAATAAAAAAAAAAAAAAAAAAAAAAAAAAACACCGAGTGTGCATGTGTGCTCATAGGTAAAGTCTCAAGAGGAGAATGCAGGAGAAGGGATTGTGGCATGTCCATGCCCCCGGAGAGGGGGTTGCTTTCACACTTTTTATCTCTCTCTCTCTCTCTCTCTCTCTCTCTCTCTGTTTCTCTCCAGCAAACACACATGCCCTTTAGCAAATTTAAAAATTTAAAAAAATTTAAAAATTAAAAAAAATTTTTTAAAAAAGATGTGCTTTATTTTCCCAGAAAAATGGGGGATTCTGCATGTGTTTTGGTGGGAATTTCTTGCTTTCCTCCACATTCCTTCCCCTACACTCAGTCCCCATGATCAACTTTCACAGGCATCAGAGAGGACTTTCCATTGGCACCCAAACCACCCACATAGCCTGATAGCACATCCGTTTTCACTGTGGTCTCCAATTGTCTCAACCTGCAGAAGAAATCCTATTGTTCCATTTGCTCATTATTTACCTCTTGATTCCCAGATGTTATGTGTTAAGTTGAGTCTCCTCCACCCACCAAAGGATATGTTGAAGTCTGAACCCCCCAGTTAATGACCTTATCTGGAGTTAGAGTAGTTACAGATGTAAATAGTTAAGATGAGATTATACTGGAGTAGGATGGTTGCCTAATCCAATATGACTGATGTCCTTATAGGAAAAGGATAGGACACAGAGTGGAGACAGCCATGTGAAGACACAGACACAGGGTAATGGGGTTGGGGAAGAGTACCATGTGACAATGGAGGCAGAGATGGGAGTTACATAGCAGCAAGTCAAGTAGTTCCAAGGATTGCCAAAACCACCAGGAGCTGGGAGAGTAGGTATAGCCCTAACACCTTGATTTCAGACTTCTGGCTTTCAGAATTATGAGGAAAAAAATGTTGAGCCACCAAAGTTGTGGTACTCTGTTATGGTAGCCCTAGGAAACGATCACACCATCCCAGGATCAAGCCCAACTTTTACCTTTCTATTGAATTCATACAATTTGCCCTGATCGTAGCTCATGGTCTCTCAGTTCAGCAAGCACAGATAAAGAACACATCATGAAGGCACCATCCTCCCACCTATGTTCTATCAAAGGGACAAAGAATTTGCAGATTTGACATGGAAACTCAGCAGAGATACTGATGGGAAGCTTATCATTGTGTATATGACAGAATCCCTACGGTAGGGAGTTAAATCTACAGGCAAAACTCAGAATGAGTCATTTCAGTGTGGTTAAGTGTGATTCCTCTCTGAGATCACCCTGTTGAAGCAGATGCTCTGGCTTGCACCTTGGCAAATCTTTGCCAGGGTCCTTGCTTCTACTCTTCAGCTCTCACAATAAGTTCATTTACTGCAAGTACTTTCACCCTCAACTGCAAAAGCTTTAAGTTCATTGTAAGTTCTTTCATCCCGGTAGTGATTAGAAATGGATGATGAACCAAAGGAATAGGGGAAGGCCTATGGCTCCAAGGGAAGCTCTAACCCTCCAGCTTCTTCCATGGTACACAGGAAAACCCTTGTGCTCTGTTTAAAACTCTTCTTCGATGAGAGACTGAAGTACCTCCAACCTTCTAAAAGGGTCTGAGTGTATGTGATGTTTACAAAGAATTTGGGGGTGAGGTAAAAAGAGACATGCCGTACATGCCAAATGCTTCTAAATATTGCTCAGTCTAAAAAAATGCCCAATACACTTTTCTCCCTTTCTTCTTTATATATATATATGTATAAATTCACGATAGAGTGTATGGGAGTGGAGGTGTTCACGGGACTCATCACACCACCGTTCTCATCCTCCAGCCTGCCAGGACCCTGAGCAGTATGCACACATCAGGTGTGTTTTCAGATCTACCAGGCCAGGCTTCCAGCTATTCAGTCCAGCACAATACCAACTGTTTCCTTCATACCTTTTTTTTTTCTTTTCTTTTTTCGGAGAGGTTTTCGCTATAGGGCGCGTGCGCTCACCAGAAAGAGAGACAGAGAGACAGAAAGCGAGAAATCACCCCCCAGAGGGATGGCCATGCCACAATCCCTTCTCCTCCATTCTCCTCTCGGGATCTTGGACACGCACGCACATGCGCCCGGCGTGAGTTTAAGCCACCGGGTCCGGGACTCGAACCACGGTCGACTACATGGGAGTCCAGCGACATAGCCATTACACTAACTGCTGGTCCCCCATATCTTTTATTTTTGAAAAGATATTTACTTTATTTGCAAATTTATTTTATTCATGATAGCATATGTGTGCACATGCGTGTGTATGAGAGAGAGAGAGGAGAAAAGCACCACCAACAGAGTCTTAACGCAATCAAACTTGTGCAGAGTCACAGGCTGGTAAGTGAGAATCAGAATTTGTGCCTCTGCAATCTGAATCCAGAGTTTATAACTTTTTTTAACACTCAATCTTAGCCAAAAAGAAGCCATCCTCCTTTTATTTCGTTTATTTTAAAATAATTATTTTATTTAACTTTATATATCATT